CCGACTGGCCCGGCCTTGCGTTCAATGTTATTATCGTCAGGTAAAGTGGTAATACATTGTAGTATCATGGGGCATTTTCAACCTTGATGACTAGATCCGCCAAGCCAAGCTCAACATGTACGCCGTTCTCCTAAAAAAAATAGTATCAATGTAAACATTAATTTTTTTTTTTTTTTTTTTTTGGGGGGGGGGGGCGTTGCATGCACTGAGTACGTATCGTGCAGCTACGTACCACACACTGGTAGCGGGAAAAATGGGGGATGAGGACTGGGAGCGCTAAAGAGAGTTGCTTTGTGGGACTAAATAGAAGCCGACAAGGAAGCACTGCACTGAGGCACCGAGGCGGTGACCTCATCAACACTTCGAGGGGTTCTCCATAATTAGACTCCATTTACCCAAAGCGCTGTCGCCCGCGGCCTGTCCGGGGGGAGGGGGAACGGGGAGGGGAGCGCGTGGTAAATGCCCCCAATTGTCCAAGGCGTCCCTGATTTGAGATGAAATGAATTCGACAATAGAGAGGGCGCATTACGGCAGCTCTTTCAAATCCCATTTGGATGTAGGTCACCCGTGATATCTCGCCGCCAAGTCTGACGAAGCCGGTCTGAATTTTCATAATTTTTTATGACTGAGAGCTGAGTGTAAAGAGAACCTCTGGTATGTTTGACAAGTTATGTACGCGTTGTGCAATAATTTGCGTTCGAAAAGCTGAAAGTGGGACAACATTTTCTTCTTCTCCTTCTTCTTCTGGACATGGCCTGCCTCCGCGGCGGTCCGTCGTCTTGCACTCCGTTAGCGTGGTGGAGGCGGTGGCCGTCATGGACGGACATGAAGGCGGCGAGTGAGTGAGACGACGATGCGATTTAGGAGTCCGATTTTCCGAACTGTGGCGCAGCCGCCAGGCCGCTGCCTCACAGTGGGCCAGAAGACCGGTGGAGGCGGCCAAAACGCTAGACGCGTTTTGAGCTGCAGAGTCGCTAAATGGGCCTCGAACCGAGCGTGTGACCCCACCAATGGATTCCTCGTTGGGAGAGCAATCCATTGGTGGGGTCACACGTTCGGTTCGAGTCCTGCTGAGTGACTCTGGGGCTCAAAACGCGTCTAGAGTTTTGGCCGCCTCCACCGGTCTTCTGGCCCACTGTGTGCCTCCCCAGTGTGGCTGCACCGTGGCTGCAGCGTGGCTGCACTGCACCGGGTGCATGCATGCGCGCTCGCCGCGGGGTGCCGCGCAAAAACAATGGCCTCACTCTTTACGAAAACACAAGCCGAGAGCACGCGCTGAGCTCGGACGCATTTCGGGACCCCACTGCAAGGCCGGGTCCAAACGCGCCGCTCTGTCTCTCTCGCACCCTTAGGCCACGCCCCGTTGGAGACGGCCTGTTCGGACGCGGCCTGCTGTCCCCGGTGGTGCCCCGGTTTGCACCGCTAAATTTGCCGGCCAGACGGACGTGGGTGCGGCAACGACTGCGGCTGGAAATCTGTGGCGTGAATGCGCTATACTGGCGTCGGCTCCACTCCACGCCGCCCTTGCCGCTGCCACGTATTGTTCGTTCAGCGGAATGTGATAAGGTATCTGATAGAGCAGTGTGGCGAAGGGGTGGACGTGATCGACAGACGGACGGACGGACAGACAGACAGACGGGCGGCCGGGCGATGCACGTCGGCTTAGGCCTCCTTGGCGGAGCGCCCGCCGCGTATCCTGGAGCGGCTTGAAAAATATCCGCCCGCTTCTGAGTGCGCCGCGCTGCTCGGTGAAACGGCGCGTGGGTAACGACGAGCAGCTTATCGTCGCTCGTTACTTACCAACTTTCCAGTTTTGGAAAACAAGTGGTACCTGGGGCGGCCGTTTTAGGGCCAAGTCGTAAAAGAGGGGGGAAAAATGGAAAAAGTTGGACAAAGTCACACCGCACGGAAAAACTGAACGCAATAACTGCATGAGGCATGCCTCGTGTTTGAAACTCGTTTACATCCCGCCGTTTCTTTTGGCGTCGATATCCGAGCCGATATCAAGAAGTCGCCACCGTACTGAGTCATACTGAGTCATGTCAGACCCCTCCGTGGACCAGTGGACCACCCGCCGGCCGCACCAGTGGCACCCCTCGCGTGCTGCTTGCGGACGGCAACTGAAAATACCTTGTTGGCGACGGAGGCGCCACCCTGCGGTGAGGGCTGTAACTAACATCGCGACGGCGCCACTTCCGTCGAGGCAGTATTCGAAAAGCGATCTCCTTGGCGCGCCTTTTGGCCGAGAGAGAGAGAGAGAGAGAGAGAGAGAGAGAGGAGAGAGAGAGAGAGAGAGAGAGAGAGGCCGGGGGAGCGCCCGCGCGCATGAATCAGTTTCCGTGTCCATTCACTCGCGTCTTTCTTTGCCTCTCTCTCGGACCGCTGCTGTTGCTGGCCAGTGCTTTCTCGGCGGGGCTGTTTGGCGGATTCGCGGCGGCCCGTTGTGGCCGACTTGGCGCTCTGTGCCGCGAGGCGCGGCCTTGGCGTGACCTTGAACTGCGGCGGTGCGAAATTTTCGGCGACGTGCAGTAAACACGCCAGAGTGACAGGCAAACGGGGGAATGCGGTGGGTCGCTGCTGATTTAGCTGAAGAGTTGTTGTTTTTTGCAGCGCTCTGGCGGTACAGGTTGTACTACATGTCGGGAACGGGCTGAGACTGAGTTAGGACGCCCACCACCGCAGTCCCACCCTCACACAATCGCCTGCTCTCTTAACCATTTCTTCTTTTGCGATTTTTATTGACATGTCTTTGAAATTAAACTCTGCCTTCCCTTCATGCTATGAGTAACTAGGTTCACGAGAAAAATACAGGATCAAAGTCTGAAATGCAGAGATTCGCGACTGGCTGAAAGCCTTTTCGGCCAGTCCCCTGGGACTCTCATGTCAAGGGCTGCGGCCGGCGCGGCGACTCGTGTCTACCAGTGTCGGCGACCGGCAGCCTGACTCCGAGAGTCGTCTTCTGTCTCTCTCGCACCCATTGGAACGCCCCACGAGTGCGAGAGAGACAGAGCGACGGAAACTCTCGGAAACCCTGCGGTCCGAGTGGGTCCGAGTGCGCTTGAAGCACGGCGTGTGTACCGACCGACGCACAGCGCATGTGTCAGACCGGCTCTCGAGACGGCTCGGCTCGGCTCGGCCCTGCAACCACCAATTTCTTATTTACGCGCAGGCTTTTCTCTCGAGCAAACGCCAAGTCCCAAAAAAAAAGTGTAAAGAAAAGGGAAGAACAACCAGCGACACCCAAATTCAGTCGAGGTGAGGATGTGGGTCAAGGTGGTTGACGAGATTTTAGTGCGGTTCGACTCCTCCCCTGGCCCTCCGCTTATCGAACTCGAGGGATCGCCCCCACGTCCGTAGCGCACCGGCACTGCCTCCGAAGCGCGCGGCAGGGCGTTGGCCGCCTTCCTCCAGGCCTCCAGGTCGTCCAGGCCCTCGTGTCAATGAGTTGGGTCCACGTCGAGCGCCTCGGACGCAGCCAGCCAGGCCAGCCAGGCCCCAGACGGACCCCCCTTCGAGAGGGTTCGGGCTGCCCCTACACTGGTATGCTGATGCCCGCGTACCTGGCGACACGCCCTGCGTCGCTCTGCGTCCAGCGGACTGTCTCTCTCGCACTTGGGGTTGTGGAGAGAGACAGCCTGCAGGCTAGGCCTGTGGCGGCGCTAGGGGCGCTCGGCGTGGACTTTGAACGCCACATAAAGCCTTAAAAGCCACGGGGAAGTCCGCGTCTTCTGCTTGCCGCACTCGGCGTCCGTCAGTCAGTCCGTGTGCGGGGAGACGGCGGAGACGGCGGTGAAAAATTCCCGGTGTGCTCGTAAAGGTGCCGCCATGCATGGTGCTGCCAGCTCGGGCTGCCCGGCTGCCCGATGGATGGCCGCCGTCAGTGTTTGCCTCCCTGTTTGCCGCCAGCCAGGCGGCCAGCCAGGCAGCCAGCCAGGCAGCCAGCCCGTCGGGCCGTGTGTCGGGTTTCCGGTGTAAGTACGTACTTGCACAAAGACGCCGGTCCAGGCCGTTATGTCGCGTTAGACAAGCAGAGAAAGGGGAGTTTTAAGTTTTACTCCGGCCGGGCGGGCGGCCGGGCCGGGCCGAGGTAGCACGGAGGTCCTTCAGCAGCTTTGTCTGTCTCTCTCGCTCCCGAAGGGAACGCCCCGCGAGGGCGAGAGAGACAGCGGACCCCATAATGCAGGATCGCTGCCGAATCCGCGCGCGTGTCTTTAATTAATTTGGCAGCCGTGGGCCGATCGGCCGGTCGGACCGACGCCACTGGAAGAAAAAGCACGCATATAACATAAACAAAAAGCGGTGTAGAAAGGACGACATGTTTCCGGAAGTGTCCCCTTCGCGGTTTTGTTTCTGTTTCGCTCCAGACGCGGTGGCTTAGGACCCTCCAGCAACGGAGACGCCGACGTGGATGAAAAATCGCCTACGGTAGAACCACCACTACCAGTTTCGCGCCAAAAGGACAACAGTGCAGAAGGAAGCCGAGATACATCCCTTCCCCCTTTTTACACACACACACACACACACACACACACACACACACACACACCTGATGCATCCCGGCGACACCACTGTTTACTGTCCGTCGATAAAGCTTTGCTGCCGTAGAACAAGCCCGCCAATTAACAGTGCGGCTCATTTCATCGGTCGCCGTCGAGGTCCGCGTCGTCCGCGCGGCCCGGACGACAGAGACGGAGCGACGGAGCGTCGCCTCTGCCGCGGCGGCGCGAGAGAGACTACGGCGCTCATTTCGCCTCTCGCTCGCCGGATTGAATAATAGGCAATGATGGGGGCTTTATCGCGCCAGGTGCCTCGGATTTTATTATCGCCAGTCGCCCGGCGATGAGTTATGCAATTTGGCGCCAAATTTATCTGCCTCTCCTCGCCTACTCCTTCGTGGTGGCGACAAAAAAAAACAACATTAAAATGACAGTTGGAAACGCCGAACGGAGACGTATGTTTCCGAAAATGGATGGTTTTGACGTGCCGTTTTCTCTGCGCAGGACTCGTGCTGCTGCTGGGAGCGTCCTCTGGCGAGCATCGATGGAACCCGGAGCACAGGTAAGGCGACCTCGGCTGGCTAACCGATTTGTCGAGCAGGCGAGGTTTCCAAGTGGTTTCCCGCCATCTTGTGCGAGTGTAGGTGCGTGGGGGTTAATCCCGTGGAGACGAACAGCGCAAACGGCTTCGTTTTCCAGTGGGGTGTTGTCATCGCAGCGCGTCATCGCTCAGGGCGGCAACGGCGGCGAGCAGGGGCATATTTCACAGGCGGTGACTTTTCCGCGACTGTACGTTTTCTCCTTGCAGGTCCCATACCGCGGGACCCCAATCAATTTAGCCTAGCAGGCGGTGTCGCCTCGCGTCGCCGCGTTCCGCCAGGCCAGGCAGACCGTTCCGAACGTTCGCCCAATCTGTCTCTCTCGCGCACCCTCGCGCTGCCGGCCTGCGAGAGAGACGGGGCGGCGTTAGGTCAGCAGGATGATGTGCTTATGCGGCACGTCCGCGCCGTGAGCTGTTGTTTCCGAGACCCGTGCGTTTAGGCCCCACCCTGTTGGTGGCGTGGGTGTTGTTGTTGTTGTTGTGCTTGAGCATATCCTGCAGTATAGTGCAGTGGCCAGGTCGAGTTGGCATAGTCACGTATTATCGCACAGCAAAAGAAGGCTAGTTGAGTTGAGTTTGACCGTCCTAGAAAATTGCCTAGGCAGTATCGGCGTCCTTAAAAAAAGAAACTAAAACTTACAATACTGTCTTGAATTTTATGAGCGTGCACTTGTCGGATTGGCAGAGCTAATCCTGCGCGTCGAGGCGGGGAATTGAATATCGAAACTCGAAAGGCATGTGCGCTACACTGGTACATCGTTCACATAAATCGGTGCGGCACGCGTCGGGAGGTTGGCACCACTGGCACCGCCGAGACGGACGGACACGGGCAGAGCTCAAGTTGGCTCGATCAACATTCCGAACGGGGGTCTGTCTCTCTCGCACCCCTACGGCAACGCCCCGCGAGTGCGAGAGAGAGAGAGAGAGAGAAGAGAGAGAGAGAAGAGAGAGAGAGAGAGAGAGAGAGAGAGAGAGAGAGAGGAGAGGCGCCCGTTCGGCAGCAGCCTGCAGAGCTTCTGTTGGCGAATAAACATCTCCGGTCGCGTATCTCATGGGATCGGGACCGCAGCCTATCATGCAAAGCAGGGTGGGCCCGGCCGAGAGAAAGAAACAGACAGACAGAAGACAGACGAGGGGAAAAGCACGCCAAAAATGGAGGGTGGTTCCAGTGGCGCGGTTGGCACCCAACAACCGCGGTCAAACTCAAGGAAGACGGCGTTCTCACGTTTACGGCGGAGCGTCCCCTCCGAAGATGGAACCAATGCCAGGGCTGAGTGATTTTGGCCATAAACGGAGGCTTCGTCGCCATCGTGAAAGGCCAAAGAAAAACGAAGGTTGGGCACCGGCGGCCACCGGGCTCGAACCTGAGTCAAGTTGTTTGGAAGTCGACGCCGTTACCGCCGCGGCCATGGCGACACGCGCCTTGCCCCCGATGTCGCGTGCAGCTGCCGCCAGGCTGCCGCCCTGAGGTACGCGAAGGAGACGTTCTCATTGGCTGCACCCGGACACATGTGCTCGCACGCGCCTCGCCTTACGACGGGCGGAAATACAAACGGGCAGTCATGCTTTATTGCTCTCTCTCCCTCTCTCTCTCTCTCTCTCTCTCTCTCTCTCTCTCTCTCTCTCTCTCTCTCTCTCTCTCTCTCTCTCTCATCCCCGCGAGAGAGACAGAGCGACGAGCCTAGTTCGGAATCAGCCTATTGCATGGACAGCTGACTCTAAGTACTCGCCGTCGGTGTCGCGGCCTCTCAATTTATGTAGCCTCGGCGGGGGCGGCGCCGCACGCGGACAGTCTCAAGCGCAGCCAGCGCAGCCACTGTGGGGAGCGAGACGCCGCGCGAACCGCCGCGAATCGATTAGTCGATTGGAGGTTACTCTCGAATCGCGCGTTTCTAGGGGAAAGATGGCGGCGCGTGATATGGGTGGTAATATGCAAGGCACGCGTGCACGTGTGTGTGTGTGTGTGCACGTGCAAATTGAGGCGAGTGGGCAGGGATTCGACGGCCATCCGAATGGAGGTCATCTTAGCGCTCTCGCTTGCAGTGCTGCAGCAGTGTCACGCAATGTGTCACACATCTGGCCTTGTTGACGTTCGCCAGGCCGGCGTCGTCGTCCACCTTCCGGGACGTGAACCCTCCTACGGTGTACCGGCTGGGTCGAAAGGCAGAGGAAAGGCTGGCGACAAATTCCTGTCGTGAATTGAGATGGACGATGACGTACGACGCGGTGCTGCGCTGCCGCAGTGCTCACGCCTTCGATGCCCGGCGGACGTGTGAATGGACCGTGCGTGGCAGAGGGAGGGGCCCCGTCAGGACACTGTCAGAACCGCCAAAGCCGAGCCTGGCCGAGGGGAACGCACAATGTCGTCCTCTTTCCAAAAATTTTCATGCACCAATTATTTTAAATTTCGCTGCATTTCGAACGTTTTAGCGAAAGCGCAAGAGAGACGCGTTGCACGTGGCTGGGCGGGTCACGCGGGGCGGGGGCCAGATTGCTGTGAGCGCAGCGCGAAGTGTCGCGAATCCTTCGCCACGCGTCGCCAGCCCGGCTGGTTGCGGAGCAGCGCTTTCGTCGCTCTGTCTCTCTCGCACTCACTCACGCCCCGAAGGGACGCGAGAGAGACAGAGCGAGAACCCGCTCCGCGGGGTTTCCGCCAACGGGGTGCGCGAGTGCCAATCGGCGTGCAGTGCACTGCCATGGCTCTGCCGGTCGGGCCAGTCCAAGCGGCAAGACGCGACACGACAGATATCGAGAGCTCGAAAGGCGAGAGCTCGAAGAGCGGCTTTGGCTTTCCCGCGACAACAACTTTGTGTTGACTTTGGCAGCGTTCGCGGCGGCAGTGGCGGCGTGCCGGCCAGGCAGGGGGGCTGGGCATCGCTGCAGTGTAGCGGACTGCCAACGCGGAGACTTGAATTTCTCCGCATTTTTCTTCTTTTTTCGTCGTTGCCGTCGGCGGAAGCACCAATGGCAGTCGGCCGAAAGCGCGCCAGAGTGCCCCGCCAATGAATGGGCTTACAAATGAGCGCATTGCTCACTCTGTCTCTCTCGCACCCCCGCGGACCGGGCCGTGAGTGCGACAGGGAGCGACGAAGCCTTGGCCGCCGCCGGTGTTTGCCGTGTGTCGATACTCAATTGGATCCGACAAAGTTGCAGTGCAGGGCGCCTCGCCTCTCCGCGCGTCGTTCAGGTTTATCCGTGAATGGCTGGCCGGCCTGGCGCACCATTTTCATTTTCGCCCGAAGTTGGCAACGCCACTGCGATCCGCGGCGCAGCGGGGCGCCATGCCGCGGCAGACTGAGTCGTCTTCGTCGCTCTGTCTCTCTCGCACCCAGACGGGAAGCCCCATGAGTGCGAGAGAGACAGAGCGAGACTCTCGGAATGGGTCTGCACTGCAGCCACCGCGTCGGACTCACATAATTCAGCCGATTAAGGCCGGTGCGTCGCACGGGGGCTCGCCGCGCTGCGTCCCCGCGCTGCGTCGCCGCGTACCCGCACCGCGACACTCGCGCAACTACGCGGCCGGGCTGGAGTACTTGCGGGGCTGCGGCGGCGTGGTACGGACGCCCAGCCTGCCCGTCGCAAATCATCGCCGCCCGATCAAGTAGTTCTGTTCCTGCCGTGTTTCTTAGTTCAGTGCCATCCGGCTGCTGCAGCGGACTGCCTCAGAGAGTCGTCGCTCTGTCTCTCTCGCACCTACACGGGACGCCCCACGAGTGCGAGAGAGACAGAGCGACGGCAAACGACACTCGGAAATCGGTCTGCTGCAACAGCAACGTGCCACTATTTCATTACTTTTTTCTCGCCGCCAATTTGTTGCCGCTTCCAGTGCCGTGGCTCGCAGTGTAGGCGCGGCTTGATTCTCTTTATCGGCCCGTTGCGCCCCTTTAGTGCCTTTCGTGCCTTTGGTTCGCCTCATGCAATCACGGATGCAAATTTGTGTGTCGGTGCGCCGCACACGCGGGGGCTTACGGACCGGCCCCGCCGCCTCTGTGTCGCCGGGGACCGACCGCGCAGTTATCTCCTTCATTGATCTTTAGAAGGAATTCCTCTAGTTTAATTTCAGTTTTCAATTTTTAGCGACTTTTTTCCTTTTACAGTGTTCTCACTTTTCACTGAACTGTGCCTCCTGGCTCGGCGCGGTTGTCGCTTCATCGACGACAATGTGGCGACTCTGGCGACTCGACTCGTCCGAGCTGCAGACTGATTCCAGAGTCGTTTTCGTCGCTCTGTCTCTCTCGCACCCATGCGGGACGCCCCATGAGTGCGAGAGAGACAGAGCGACGTCAGTCTGCTGCTTGCCACTGGAAGCAGTGTGCTCGCTCCAACGCTCCGACGCTCGATCCATCAGGCGCCGCGCTGTGCGTCCGAGCGTGCCGTGTACGAACATGACATGCACACGCGGTGCCGCCGCGCTGCACGTCATAAACCACGTCGCTCTGTCTCTCTCGCACTCGCGGGCCCACCGGCCACCGGGACGCCCCGTGAGTGCGAGAGGGACGGAAGCGCCGTGAGTCGCGACGATGCCTGCTAAGGCCCGACCAGTGGCGTGCCGGGTGATTCAAACTTCGATTGATGTAGGCCAAGGCGGCGGTGCGTGCGTTCGCCAAACACTACCTTTTCTCTTAAAAAAAAATAAAAAAAATATAAATAGAATAAAAATATTTTATTTCCCTCATCGATTGGTCTTTATCAACTCGTAAAACAGACAAGTTCCAGGCGCGACTCGGGCGGGCAAGCCGTAAAAGCACTCCAGACAGGCTGGACACTCGGACTCAACTAGCCCTGGAGTGACTGAGGCGGGGGGGGGGGAGAGAGAGAGAGAGAGAGAGAGAGAGAGAGAGAGAGAGAGAGAGAGAGAGAGAGAGAGAGAGAGAGAGAGAGAACAACAAACTGCCTGGAGGGTCCCCGTCGGTCCCCGTGTCCAGTGTGGGGGCGTTCCCTCCGATATTAAGGAGGGCCGGCCGGGCTGGGAAGCAATCTGTCTTCCTCTCGTGTAAACCTCGAGAACTTGTTGTTGTTGCTTTTTTCGCGCGCAAGTGAGGAGTCTGGTTCACTTGAGCCGTGTGGCGTACGTCGCGCCTCAAAGACCCCCTGCCGCGGTGGTGCCTCACTTTGAAGCTGGTGGCGGTGACATTAGCACGACACACACGCCGCCGCCGCCGCCGACGGCGTGCTCTGACGGCGTGCTCTCTGACGGCGTGCTCTCGACGACGGCAGAAATGCGCCGAAGATGCAGCCAGCCGTCTAAAAGTGGATCATCGACGCGTGACTATCCCGACAGGCTCGATGATTTGGTCCCTTCGGCCGCGGCGACGCGGTGCTCGCTCTCTGTCTCTCTCGCTCCGCCGCGGAACGCCCCACGAGTGCGAGAGAGACGGACCTACCGGCGCCACGCGGGAGTCTCTCTCGCGCGCTATTAGCCGCGCGTGTCGCGGAAACGTGTCTCCCTCTCTCTCTCCCACACTCTCTCTCTCTCTCTCTTCTCTCTCTCTCTCTCTCTCTCTCTCTCTCTCTCTCTCCTCTCTCCCCCACTCATGCCGGGCGTGGGGGGTCCCGTGTGGGTGCGAGAGAGACAGCGCTCGGAATGAGTGTGCCGGCGCGCTGCTGCGTGCACACTGTGAACATGATTCTCCCCGCGGTCCAGGACGCCGTCGAACATCGGTACGGCGACGGTACAGCACGGCGCGGCCGGCCTGGGACGCGATGGGTCGCGCCGCGCGGGGCCCACACTATAAAAGCCGCTTTTACGGCCGATCGTTTGGGCCATCACCAAGCTTGAGGAAATATCTTGAGCATTTGCCTCTGTGTGTGTGTGTGTGTGTGTGTGTGTGTTTGGGGGTGTGTGTGTGTGTGTGTGTGGGTGTCGGAGTGACAGTGGACTCCGAAACGGCTCGCTAAATGAGTCCCTCGATGACCGGGGGGTGGGGGGGGGGCATCAAGGTGGCAGTGGGGTGACCTCCACGTCGATTGGGCAACATTGAAGTTGATGGGGCAGAACTCATCAGTGCGGGTGCAAGATGACGGGGACAGTTAGCGATGATGCATTCGAGGAGGGTCCACCATTTTTGCAGTGTGCAGTTTTGAACGCAACTACGAAGGCCAAGGCCAAGGCCGTGCTGTCCTAGAGCAACTTGATTGTGTGTTTTTTTTAAATCATCCAAAAATCTCCTCTTTTTAATTTTTTTTGTTGGATAGTTTTTGGCGCCTTTTTGCACTGCCACTGCACCAGCGCGTCGCGCTCCCGACCCCCCGCCAGCTCCCTGCTCGCTCACGTCCCCAGGTTCGCGTCCCCGCACGCCTTCTGCTTTTTTTTACCCTGTTGCTACGTGCAAAACGCTCTCACCTCCACCTGCAGGGGCAAGCCGGGCATGCCCCGCCCTTCCACCGCAGACGCGTAAATCAGGCTGCACACTGTAGGTGTGTGTGTGTGTGTGTGTGTGTGTGTGTGTGTGTGTGTGTGTGTGTGTGTGTGTGTGTGTGTGTGTGTGTGTGTCGCAACCGTGTGAGCAGAAGTCTGCTTCAATTTTAAAAACGCCCCTCGTTTCGGTTTTCTTTCCGCCTTTTGTTTTTCTCCCTGGCGGAGGTGTTATTTCCGGAGCTCGGTTTTTTGGCAGGCCGAGCCGCGTTGCAGTGTATAGTGCAGTGTGCGTATACAGTGTACCCTCAAGTTCTGGGTCAGCGCGAGGCGGCGCGGCGCTTGTAAACAGAGCGGCCCGCCCGGGCGTCGGACTGCGTTTAGGTTTCGCACTTCACCCGGCAACAGGTTGTGTCGAACCGAATGCGTCGGAGCAACGGACGGAGGATGGCCCAAGTTAGCTTTGGAAAGAATAAATCGAGAACCGAAAAAATTATATAAAGATGAGGAAAGAACAGAGTGTTTAAAACTCTAAGAGTGTAGCGCCTGCAGAGCGCAGGGCGGGCCCGGCCGTCGCACCGGCGTGCGTTGCGGGGCGGCCTACCCCGGACTTCGCAGGCGGCGGTGCTGACGACAGTGCCGACGCGTTTGCCTCTACTCGCACTCTCTCACTCACTCGCACCCGCAGTGCGAATAGTGCAGCCGAAAATAGTGCCGGCCGGCTATTCGCAGTTCGATATCTGCTCTGGATCACCTTGGTTGTTTACACGATTTGGGAAGGCGGGACCTTGATCGCGGATGTTTGCGCCCTTGACTTTGATCCGCACGCTCGCGCCGACATTCTACAAAAACGTTTCCTCTTTCTCTTCCTCAGGGCGCTGTGGGCGGCCAACGTGCAGGGCCGGGGCGGCCGGCCGGCCAGTCCAAGAGGCACGTGGCGTCCGGGTCGCCGGGGACGTCGCCGCGCCGCGCCTGGGTGCCGGGCTCCAAGATGCCGCTGCACCACTACCCCTCGGACCGCCGGGAGGTGCTTCCGGGCGACCTGCCCGCCGACGACGCGCTGCAGTACCTGGAGGGGTGAGTAGCCGGTCTCTCTCTACTCCTCGGCTCCTCCCTCTCTCTCTGGGTCTCTGCTCTCTCTCCTCCTCTCTCCCCTCGACTCTCTCTCTCTCTCTCTCTCTCTCTCTCTCTCTCTCTCTCTCTCTCTCTCGCACTCACGGGGCGTCCCTACAGGTGCGAGAGAGACAGAGCTTGACTGACGCGACCCTCTCTCTCGGCAGCGCGGACACGGAGGTGAGCGTGCGCAGGGTGGCGGCGCCGGGCGGGGCCGCGCACCACGCGCAGCACCACCCACCAGGACAGCGGGGAGCTTCGCGGCGAGGAGGAGCGGCCCGCCGTAGGAAGGGAGAGACCCGCAAGACGCACACCAGGCACCACAAGCAGCACCAGCAGGTAAGCAGGCGACGAAAAAAAAGTCGACGGCGCGTGTTTGAACCAGGTACCTCCGCGTCGAAGACCGGTGCGCCAGTGCTCTCGGCTACAGCCGCTTCTCACCTGCACGCTCGGCTTGGCTGCGACCTGCCACCGCAAGTAATTAATACGCGTGTGAGAATGTGTTCGAAAAAATAAAACTTGCGGCCTCCGAGTGGCTGCTGCTGTCACCGCCAATTTCTCCTCTTTACGATGCTTTCCGCGCCGCCTCTCTCTCTCTCTCTCTCTCTCTCTCTCTCTCTCTCTCTCTCTCTCTCTCTCTCTCTCTCTCTCTCTCTCTCTCTCTCTCTCTCTCTCTCTCTCTCTCTCTCTCTCTCTCTCTCTCTCTCTCTCTCTCTCTCTCTCTCTCGCACGCGCCCGGCTGGCCGCGCGAGTGCGAGAGAGACGGGCAGAGGCGGAATCGGTCAGGCCGTGCATTAGCCGCTTATGATAATACGGGTGACGCGCTGCCAGTGACGGCCTGACGGGCTGACGGCGTGCAGCCGAGCAATTCGTCGCTCTGTCTCTCTCGCACCCTTACGGAGAGCCCCGTGAGTGCGACAGAGACAGAGCGACGCAGTGACTCTTTCCGAATCGCTTAGCAGAACGCGTCAAGTGAGGCGTCTGCCATAATCACCACAAAGCAATGGTCAAAATATACTAAAAAAACAGGAAAAAAAAGAATAAAATTGGTGTGGCGCTAGCAGTACAGTATTCGATCCTGAGTAATACGGGACAATCCGTGTCAGTTTTATTGATGGCATGTTTACAAACTGGCGGCGGCATCTCAGGTTAACATATTTATATTACCTGTCTTGTTTTTTATTTAAATATTTTTTTTTTAGGTTGATGGTCATGGTCACTGTGTGTGTCTCTAAAACTCGGTCGTGCCCGGCGCATGGTCTAGTAGAGAAAAACAGTAAAATCTGTTTAAAAATAGAGAAAACGCGAAAATGGCCGGTCGAGTCGAGTCGGTGGCGGCGGTGATGAGGATCGTAATGCAGACGCGATCGCCTCGTCGTCGCGGACAATGCCTCGTCGACTCGCCCCGCCGCGCCACTGCCGATTTTGTGCCAAGAAATGGGGATCGCTTCGCGCGCCCCGCGTGTTTGCCAACGATAAATCATGCCAAAATGGCCCTGCCCATTGACGTCACGTGTGTGTGTGTGTGTGTGTGTGTGTGTGTGTGTGTGTGTGTGTGTAAAGTGGTCATTTTTACCTCCTCGTCGTGTGGAAGGGACATCTCAAGCTGCAAGTGCGTTCGCATGGAGTCTGGAGGCGCCTGGAGGGGCTTATCGCAGTCGCGGGATCTCGGATGCACGTTCCCGTCGATGCCCCCACCGTAAGAGACGGAGAGAGACACCCAATCTGCATCGCTGATGGCTCAGTCAGCACAGCTCCTTGCACGGCGGTCACAGCACAGCGGGCAGAACTGGAAATGCAAGTGGAAATTGGAGACAGCGCGCTGATGTGAGCCTGACTTGTTTTTCGTTTTGGCAGGGGCAGGCGGGGCAGCCCCTGGCCGCGGCGGCGCCGTGGCCTCGGCCCGCCGACGGCAACGTCACCATGCTGAGGACCGTGCAGCGGGGCTCGGCCCTGGTGCCGCTGGCGCCGGGCTCCGCGAACATGGCCGTCCCCGTGGTCCCGGTGCACGCCGACCCCTCCAAGGTAGGCGTGGGTGTAGCACAGTGGGCCAGAAGACCGGTGGAGGCGGCCAAAACTCTAGACGCGTTTTGAGCTCCAGAGCCGCTAAATGGGACTCGAACCGAACCTGTGACCCCACCAATGGATTGCTCTCGGAACGAGGAATCCATTGGTGGGGTCACACGTTCGTTTCGAGTCCTGTTTAGCGACTCTGGAGCTCAAAACGCGTCTAGAGTTTTGGCCACCTCCACCGGTCCTCTGGCCACTGTGCGCCGCCGCGTGCGATGGGTTGCCTATCCGCCCGGCGCTCGCTTCGGGTTATCGACTTCTGGCAGTGTGTCCCCCTCCTCTCGCTGGCGAGCACCCTCGGACGGGCTTGATTGCAATATCTGGCCGCCGAATCAGAAGAGGAGGTGCACCATGGCCCTCTCAATGTCACTCCCGTGACTGACAGGCCAAGGCGGGGCGGGGCGGCGTTAATTGACGCAATTGCTCCCCTTCCGGTGCTCATCCGATTGATTCATTGCGTCTGATTGAGAGCGCCAAAAAAAGAAGAGGAGGAAGATGGACTTGATTCCTTAACGGTGGGATGTAATGCGACAGTGGTGCGTGTCCGGCCCTTTTTCTTGGCGCCCTTTTTCTAGTGCCACCACGGCGTCGACGTTTCTAATCGGCGTGAATGATTAGCCGGCCCATCCTTTTTAATTCTCGCTCCGCGGAAACGCGGGACGCTCATCAATAATTGTTTGGAATGCGCGCGGCGGCCGCAGCTGCGCCCTGTCGCTCCGTCTCTCTCGCACTCACGGGGCGCCCCGCGCAGGTGCGAGAGAGACGGAGCGACGACCTCGGAATCAGTCCGCTGCAGCGCAGGGCAGCCGACTTGCTGGAATAAATTACCAGGGCGGCGTCCTATCGCGACGGCCACCCGAATGGATCATTCGCAGTGGACGCGCGTGGGGCGGCTAAAAGGGCCAGCATCGCCAATCGTCGCTCATTTCTCCAGTGCAGTGCCGATGTCACCGTGAGTGGTACACCTACACCCTCCGTTTGCAGACGCAGCGGTCGCTGGTGCAGGCCGTGCAGGCCGCTCCGCCGGCGGCGTGGTCTCGGGGCGCGCCGACGGCGTGGTCCCCGGCGCCGGCCAACCTCGTCGTCCCCCAGGACTCGCCGTACCACTACCAGGGGCCCAGCATCAACTCCAGGGCAGACGTCCACCGCGGCGTGGGCCTGGGCGGTAAGTGTTGAGTCAGTCAGTCGCTGGATTGAGTTTCCATTCCTTTGTGTTGGTCCGGCCGCGCCGAGACGCGTGCATCCCGCTTCTCCGCGGCGCCGGCGCCGCAGGCCCGTTCCGAACAGTGTTCTGCCGCTGTCTCTCTCGCGCCCTCGCGCAGCGCTCCCGCGAGTGCGCGAGAGACGGCGGCGCGGGGTCACGCGGTAAATCTGTCGCGCGTTGCGCGTTGCGGCGCGTGAAATACCGCCAGCCTGTGATTGGCTGGCCGACGGCCGCGAGTTTTGCTTCGTGTTTTGCAATTAAACTGACGCGATTTACCGGCGATTGGACTTTCGCCGTCGCCACCACGCCGCGGCGCCGCGGCCGCACTTCTGAACCGAGTCGTAGCTCATCTGCGTTTGCTTTGCGTTCGCACAGTGACCGCGACCGCCTGCCCCGCCGACCGGTCCGTCCTGGCGCCCAAGGAGCAGGACTACGTGCTCATGGAGAAGATCACCGCCCGGTAAGTCGGCCGGCGCTAAACAAGGACAAGTTGTTGGCCGCTCTTACTCTGTCTCTGTCTGCAGGGACGGCACCCCGCTGGACGTGATCGCCGGGCCCCAGGCCGGAGACCCGGTGTCCGAGGGCCCGCACCCCGTGGTGGGCAGGCTGGTGCTCGGTGGCGGCCAGCAGTCCGCGCTGTGCCGCCTCACCTACACCGTCATCGGTAAGCCCGCCGCCTCGCTCTGTCTCTCTCACTCCTAGCGCACTCCAAGAGACCGTAACCTGACTTCTCTCCCGCCCCCAGTGCGTCGCTGCGGGCCCGCGCCGCCGCTGTCCACGCCGGCCGGGCTGACGGGGTTGACGGGCACCTCGCCGCGCTGCGTGGCCGGCACGGCGTGGGGGTCGCGGTGCCACTACCGCTGCCCGCGCCGCGACCTGGTGCTCCGCGGCGACAAGTGGGTGGTGTGCGGCGACGACCTGCGCTGGCACGGCCGCCCGCCCGTCTGCACCGGTGAGTTCCTGCGATTCAGCCCGCCACAGTCGAAATAAATCCATTTCCAGGTGGGGACTCGAACCTCGCACCTTGGTGGTGCGAAGCGAAGGCTTTACCCCTGTGCCACGGCGTGGCGCCCTGTTTCCAGAGCGCCCCGGCAAGCCCCTGGTGGCGCTGGTCGCGATGACGCCGGCGCCGCGCCGCTCCTGCCCCGAGCCCACGATGCCCGAGTTCGGGCTGCTGATGTGCCGCGCGCGCGACGACGCCGAGGACGCCAACGACGCCCACCGCATGCCCGAGGGCAGCGAGTGCACCGTGTCCTGCAGCCCGCCGCACCGCCTGCAGCAGGACGACGGCGACGCCACGCAGTCCGTGGTCACGAAGTGCAGCGCCGGCCGCTGGAACGTCACCAGCTGGACGTGTGTGCGAGGTGCGGCCCAGAATTTCCGCCTGCCTATGTTGGCACACTGGTGGGAACCACCGGGTGATGACGATGTTGACCGCCGCTTTCTGTCCCCAGCTCCGGTCCCCGACGCCGACCTGGACGGGGACATCTCCGCCGTGCTCTCCGACGCCGGGGCCGCGCACGCCGAGGACTGGGACTGGAAGGCCAACAGGTGAGGCTGCCGGAAGCAGGCCTGGGTTTTGGGGGAGCCTGAGTGTAACAGTGTAAGCCTCCACTCTTAACCAAACTGTGCCGCAGCCTGACGGACCCCTGCTCGCCCAACCCGTGCCACTCCGGCGGGAAGTGCCTGCGAGGGCCGACCAATGCCCGCGCGCTGTGCCAGTGCCGGCCGGGCACCGAAGGTGAGTACGCATCCCCTGTCTCCCTCCCACTCGCACGGCGTGCCGTGAGGCCGTGAGGGTGCGAGAGAGACAGACTCACGCCCGTGGTCCGCAGGAGAGCGCTGCGAGCGCGTGCTGTGCCGCGCCACCTGCCTGCACGGCGGCCGCTGCGTGCTGCTGCAGGGCAGGCCGTCGTGCTTCTGCCACCGCGGCTTCGCGGGGTCGCGCTGCCAGGCGCTCGTCAAGAACGTGCGCTTCCCGGCGCCCACGCCCGTGCCCGCGCTCACCACGCCCGTCACCACGCCCGTCACCACGCCGACGACGGCCTCCGCCATCGCCGCGCCCTCCACGCCCTCCGCGCCGCCGCGGCCAAGTTCCGTAAGTTGACGCGCCCGCCGGGTAGGCAACCCATCGCACGCGGCGTCACGTTGGCTAGCCTGGCGCAAGGGCCGCCTGCGGGGTAGGCAACCCACCGCGCTCCGTCTGGCCATGGCACTGCCGCCCGGCGGGTGGGCAACCCATCCTGCTCCTGCTGGTCTCTCTCCTTAAACTTTCCCGTCTCCGTCACTCTCGCAGGAAGCGCCCAACGGTTGAGCTCCAGCCGTCTTGGGTCATCGTGGAGACTGCCAGTGCCACACGCCGCTCTGTGTTCACGTTCAGGCCGGTCCAAGCCAGTCCGCGCCGTTCGGAGAGACAACTCTCCCGCCAGCAGCTTGAGGCTTCGGTCCGTTCGCCTGTGATTTGTTGTATTGATGGGGCAGGGGTCAAGACCATGCCGGTCGCCTCATGACACTGTCCATCCATTTATGTACACAATTTAATTCGTTCGAAACGCCTTTACATTCAATGTATTGACTGCTGAGCTTTGGTTTTTAGCAATGTAACAAACCACTAAAGCTTGAAATGTTTGAAAAAAAGTTATTTAAAATGACCTAATTGCGTTCGTATAGAAAAAAGTGTCAATTTGTTTCACAGACAACGTTTAGCCGTACCAAAGATAAGCCGGAAAAATATTTTGTTCAGGACCGAGTCATAATGATTTATGGTGCAATTTGAGTAATTTAAGTTTTAGTTCTTAGTTATTATTAAATCTATATGTACATATGTCTTGTCGTCTTATATATATAGTGAGAAGAGAGCTTAAATTATTTGTACAGTACTATGTAAAGGTCCCTCTTATCTTAAGCCAGCTGTAACTGTACAAGCTTCCACTGTTGTTACCATTAGAATGTATTCTTGTACTCCTCGTATCGCGCCGTCCCCGGGGACTCCGTTTTTGTACTAATCCAGCGTATTTATAAACTAAGCGGGTAGGCCGAATCTTGTAGGAAATAAAGCGTCGAGAGTAACAGCAACTATCTAAGCGTATCTTTTCCTTATCACTTTGGCCGGCTGGTCTGAGGCCTTAGCGCCGCGAGCACTCTAGATTTGGCTCTTCTAGAACGAGCTGTAGAACGACGCGCCGGAACGTCGCAAGGCGGTGCATCGCAAGCCAGGTGCCGCAAATGGCGGGAACGTTCCACGCGCCGCGACAAGGCGCCGGCGGGCCAATCCGACGCGTCCTTGGTTTTTACACTGCCCACGCGCACACACACACACACACTCGTGCGGCCTACTGTGTCTTGGCCTTGGCGCGTTTGGGCGCGGTGCAGAAGAGCAGGCCGACGAAGGCGGCGACCATGCGGCTGACCAGCCAGACGAAGAGGACGACGGCGAGCAGGGCGGCGCCCAGGAGGTCCAGCATGTACAGCTCGTACCAGCGCAGCTGCAGCCCGGGGGAGCGGAGGTTCGGCGCGCCGCCCGTGCGCGCCGCGTACTCGATGTACCACACGGCGCGCTCCAGCGGGGTCTCCTTCTGGTCGCGGAGCGCCTGCCGCACCTTCTGCATGTTCTCGCGGTACCTGGTGGAGCCGCAAAGGTTTTCACAGTGCTGCCTCAGAAGTAGGCGAGAAGTCATACCACGCCCCAGTGCCACAGGGTTGCCGACATCAGCCTGCCTTCTATGCAAAGACTCGACAGAAAAGCCCCAGTAGGCATGCTGAGGTTGGCATAACCCTTTCTCGTGGGAAAGTTTTCACAAAACGGAGGTAGTTGACGTTGACGGGGGCTTACTTGGGGTTGTTAGCGACGTCGAACACCGTCTCGAAGAACGAGTCCTCCGTGATGGACTGGTAGTGCACGCGCCGGCCGATGCCGATCTTCTCGATCTTGTGCGAGTAGCCGATCTGGTCCACGAAGAAGGGCACCCCGACGATGGGCACGCCGTGGTAGCTCGCCTCCTGCGTGCTGAGGCCGCCGTTGTGCGACACGAAGCACCGGATGTTGGGGTGGCCTGTGGAAAGGAACGGTGGTAACCAGTGAGTTACCGTCTCACGGTCTCACGGGAAAATAATATCCCCTTCATGTCCTGTCCCTTGTACTACTTTCTATCTTTCTTTGTGTGATCCGTATCACCGAGCCAACCGGCAGTGGTCACGTAGCACGCCTTCGAGCCATTGAAGCGCGGCCACAGTCTTTCATTTCGAAAGCTGGTATGATTTTTCATCGTCCGTGCGTGCCTGCTTCCTGTGGCCTGCCGCGTGTAGCGTGCACCTAAGCGCCTCTCCTTTCCTCGCGTTTGCTCGCTTCAAGTGGCCCGTCAATATGGCCGGGCCGCGTCCACTGCAAGGCCATGGTCCAAGGCCACGGTCCGTCGGCGTACAGTGCACCGCCACGACCGCCACCTGGCAACCGTGTCCTGTATGCTGTTCCTCACCGAGGATGTCGTTCTGGGGCAGCCACTTGGCCACCTTGACGTTGGGCGGCAGTTTGTCGTGGATGTCGTCGTCCTCGTACTTCCAGAGCACGCGCTGCTTGAGGCGGCCGAAGGCGCGCAGGATGGCGTCGCGCCGCTCCTTGCGGATCATCTTGGCCCTGGGCAAGGACACGGCACGGTGACGGCGGAAACTCAAGACGTGGTTCGAGCCCCAGAGTCGCTAAAAAGGACTCGAACCGAACGTGCGACTCCACCAATGGATTCCTCGTTCGGAGAGCAATCCATTGGTGGGGTCACACGTTCGGTTCGAGTCCCATTCAGCGACTCTGGAGCTCTCAACGCGTCCTTCTAGCTGGCGACCTACTTGACGTTGGTGCCGAAGGCCATGTAGATGAAGCCGTGCGGCGCGTTCTTGGCGTCCACCCAGTCCAGCAGGTCCTTGGGCAGCGGCTTGGGCGGCTGGGCCTGCAGCCCGCCCACCTCCACGACGGCGGGCACCGTGGGCATGCCGCCGTGCAGCGGCGGACTCGTGTTCACCAGGCTGATGGCCAGGTCCTTCTCCAGCTCCTCCAGGCTGGGGGCGCCGGGGAACCACTGCAGGACATGTCGCGAGTGGTGAGATCGACGTGTACCTGGAAGGGTTCCGTCAGGACGACGGTGTCGACCCCCACCTTGGCGATGTCCTGGTTGATCCTGGGCCTGTCCACGTAGTGCGCGTAGAGCTTGTAGGTGAGCCACTTGAAGGCGTTGTCGGCGCGCTCCCTGAAGGTCATGGGCACGCCGCCGTCCGCGCCGACGCCCTGGAACGGCAGCATGGACGCCACGAACGGCGAGCCCATGGCCTGCAGGACCTCTTCGGGCATGTTGAAGGCCGTGAACGCCACCACCGGGACGCGCCCGATCACGGAGTTGAGCTGCACAGCGGGGGCCGGTTACACAGTGCACTCACCACGGAGGCCGCAGACACCCCACCAGCAAAGCCAGCCAACCCACCCCGATCATGGGCTCCTGCATGATGAAGTCCAGGACGAAGACGTCGAACTTGGGCTTCTTCTCCTTCAGATGCTTCATCAGGTCGGTGAAGGCCTGCGACTCGAAGGCCGCCTTCGCGGACTCGACGCAGAACGAGTAGAAGAAGGGGATCTCCTCCCAGAGGCTGAGCACGTTGGTCACCTCCAGGTCCCAGCCCTGCGGCAGCGAGAGGAACGGGTTCGGGTGAGTGGCAGGCCTGGAGCCGCACAGTGGGCCAGAAGACCGGTGGAGGCGGCCAAAACTGCAGACGCGTTTTGAGCTCCAGAGTCGCTGAATGGGACTCGAACCGAACGTGTGACCCCATCAGTGGACTCCTCGTTCGGAGAGCAATCCATTGGTGGGGTCACACGTTCGATTCGAGTCCCATTTAGCGACTCTGGAGCTCAAAACGCGTCTAGAGTTTTATTCCCGGCCGGTCGGACAGTGTAACCAACCCCTGGCGGGCGCCTGTCCGGCCCGGTTGTTGGCCAGACTGCCGGCCGGCCGGCCAGTGCGGGAGTCGGCGGGTGATGTGTCAGCCACTCACGTGCTCATCGCCGTAGGTCGGCGCCGTGATGACGAAGCTGGTTCTGTTCTCGTGCTTGACGGCGGGCGGCCGGATGACAAGCTCGGTGACGCGGTGGCCGCGCTCCAGCAGCCCCGTGGCCAGCGCGTTGGTCCAGATGTAGTGGCTGGGCGAGGACACCGTGCTGACCAGCAGTACGTTGAGGGGCGCGGCGGCCGCGCAGGACAGCGCCGCCAGCGCCGCCAAGGTCACCAAGGTCGCCATCCTGGAAGCGCGAGGGAAGCGCCGTGAGTACTGTACCACTGTATGGCATAATACATGGGAGTCGATTTCGTCGAGTCACGCCGCTGTCCATATTTCCGTGAAAACGTGAAAACAAACGTAAAATCGACGATCCTCTCGCGGTTGGGAGCCTTCTGGTCCATTCAAACTGGCTCCAGTGTAGCGGGCGGGACTGGGACTCACCTGGTCCGTCTGCTCGATCGCTGCCAAATGCCGACGCCGCCGCCTTGACGCCCGGACCACACCAACACTAGGACCCGCGAGTTCTAGTGTACCTCCTATTACCCCCACCTTTTATGCGGCGGGCCCGCGCGAGCGGCGCAAGCGCGGCGCGGCGGCGGGGGACCGGGACGAGGCGGGGCGGGGCGGGGCGGGGCGGGGCGGGCGAGGCGAACGCCCCACGCCCGCGGTGGGTCAACAACTAACCCAGAGCAGTGGCCCGTGTGAAACCTTATCGAAACACGGGCCCGCACTGAAAAAGCCTCTGCACTTGATGGCATCTTCGAGATGGCATCCAGAATACTTTTAATACACTCGGTCCCGCTTCAGAAACACCGCCATGACTTATCGCTTTCGTACTCTAGTTGCATTCACTTTTGAGAAAACGATAACGATAAGTGTGATCAGACATGTGCGATCCTAGGAAATACTTCTTTTCCTCTTTCCTTTGCGTTGTGAAAATGGAGAGGGAGTGAGATGGGATTCGAGACGATATAATTTCAGAACTGTCGCACTCTGTGGGTAGTAGTTCGTTTAGTCTTGACGAAACTCGGCACTCAGCAAATACTTTTTATTTTTTCAGGATGGCCTCTCGAACCGCGCGGTGCCTATTATCTTTTTTTCAGAAGAGCACCGCCGCCTGACTTGACTTGCCGTGTGCAATGCGACTACGCGGCCGCGAAAAACACACCCAGATAGCGATTTACTGATCAGCGCATGATCAGGCCCTCACACGGGCATGGCAGTCAGGTGACCGCGGGCGACCGAACGCATCACGAGGTACAAAGTCCGTCGCTCTACCAAAATCCGAGTCCTGCAGAACAATCCTTGTTTCTCGACACGAAATAAATAGAGAAAGCGAACAGACAGGGATGCAGTGGCTAGTTGGTCAACTTGGACAGGACGTTGATGGAGTTGAACCACTGGCGCAGCAGGCCCAGGCCGGACCTGGCGTTGAGGCGGCCCAGCCCCAGCGCCGTGATGCCGCCGTCCGGGGCGGCGGCCTGCATCAGCAGCAGGCGGAGCAGGCGCGACGCGGCGTCCTCCTCCGTCCAGGGGCCCTCGTAGAGGCTCACCTCCAGCAGCCCGCCCGCCGTCTCCAGCATCTGGCCTGCGAGCAGGGCACTCCACAGTGGGCCAGAAGACCGGAGGGGGCGGACAAAATTCTAAACGCGTTTTCAGCTCCAGAGTCGTTAAATGGGGGTAGAACCGAACAAGTGACCCCACCAATGGATTGCTCTCCGAACGAGGAATCCATTGATGGGGTCACACGTTCGGTTCGAGTCCTGCTTAGCGACTTTGGAGCTCAGGTCCTCTGGCGCACTGTGCTCTCGTAGCCGGGGCTCGCGCGTCTCAAAGAAGGGGGAGGAGCACTCACCGACGACGCACAGAGGCACGAAGATGTTGGCCACCAGCCGCACGGCCAGGTTGACGAACTTGGCGGGCGTGGCGGTGTTCAGGGTGCCGATGAGCTCCACCGTGACGACGAGGGGCACCAGGAACGCGGCGCCGAGCTGCACAAGCAGGGGGGTGTCTCTCCGGGGAGGCGTTGGCAGTGCAGTGGCGAGGCGGACGCCGTGCTCACCATGTGCAGCAGGGGGGTCTGGTAGGCGAGGCGCATCCGCAGCGCGCTGCCCTGCACCGCCGTCTGGAGGGCGGCCACCTCGCGCAGCGCCGCCGAGCCCCTGGCGCCGGCGCCCAGGGACGCCGAGGCGATGGCGCGGAAGAGCGCGGTGCAGGCCGAGAACACCACGAAGACGACGGCCAGCAGGCTGTAGTACGCCACCACGGCCACGGCCAGCACGGCCACCTGGGCCCCCGGGGCAGTTTGGCGGAGGGGGTCTAGCGAAGGATCTTAACCGGTATTCTAACGTGTTACGCTAGTTACCTCCTCGACGCACAGCAAGAGGTTGGCGACGGCGGCCCAGCGCGCGCGCCGCCCGTAGAACCAGAGCGTCACGGTGGAGTACTTCTGCGCGGAGAGGATGGTGCCGGTGCCCAGGACGAAGTGCAGCACGCCGATCACCAGCAGTGTCCACATCGTGGTCCTCAGTCGCCCGGCCATCCGCCCCAGCTGGGCCTAACCCATTACCCAGCACAATAAATTACAAATTGATGAGCGGAGTGAACCTGCTGGCGCCTTGTTCGAGGCGCCGTCGAGGCCGTGGCGCACCTTGGTGGCGTCGTCGGCGTGGAGCCCGATGTGCTCGGCGACGGGCACGAGGCGCCCCACGGCGCGCGCGCACTCCGCGGCGCGGCCCACGAAGAAGATGACGCTCCACATGGAGCCGTACACGGACGCGAAGTGCAGCAGCGGGGTGTGGCGCCGGGCGAAGTTGTCGTTGAACACGGCGTCCAGCAGACTGCGCACCATGAACACCGCGAAGCCCGGCACCACCCACTGTAAGCCCGCAGCACGCAACACGCAGTCAACAACAAATTTTTTTTTTTTTTTTTAAGTCTTGAAAACTGTTTGAGTGACTCAGAATCCGGCAATTTCGTGTACCGTGTCACCAAAAATAATAGTACGAAAAAAAAATGACGGAGGTACTGGTACTTGAACCCGCGACCAGGTCGGGGAACTGAAAAATGACCTTGGAGCCTCGCACGCGAATGACCATCCGCTGGCAGCGCGACTTGTTGGCGTCGTCCCGGAGGTGGAGGTGCCAGCGCTGCAGCAGGCGGGCCAGGGGCGTCTCCACGGTCTCCACGTCCTCCATCGCCTCCACGGCGTCACCGGCCAGCTTCATTCGCTTCTGAACCATTCCAAACAAACGCAAACCGTGCTAGTTTCACCATTGGCGCAACCAACTTTCACATGTTGCGCAACGACGTGTGCATAGGGGACACTTGAACACAATCAGGACCATCGGGCACCATAAAGTTAATTTATCAATTAGCACTAGTCTGTACAGATAATCCTCCTCCCGGGAAAGGGCCCTTCAATTCTGGGGACGCGCTAATTCCGATAGGTGAGTCACATCCCCCCTTTTCTGCCTGAGGAGCTTCGCTTTGTCTTGTCTCGTCTTCTTAATTTTGTCTCGCTCGGTGGCCGGCAGCCGGCTCAGCTCGAAGGCCTTCCTCTTCCTGTAGGTGTACTTTCGGATCTGCTGCGACACTTGAGCGGCCCTGTAGATCTTGAGGCCGGGGCTGCGGTGGGTCAGCGCGTCTTTGAACGCCATCCTGTTGATGAGGCCTGCTGACCGGGAACCGCCGCATTAATTCCGAGAGTCCGTCTCTCTCGCACCTGTACGGGACGCCCCGTGAGTGCGAGAGAGACAGAGCGACGTACCGGTCATGAGCTCGACGTGGGCGAGGCTGATGGGCAGCGCGTCGCCGCTCCCCCTGCTCTTGATCCTGTCCACCTTGAGGGACCGGCGGTGCACCTCCCCCGGGAACAGGCGCTCCAGCAGCAGGCCCACCCTCTTGTTGAAGTCGACGTGCTGGAAGTCGCTCACGCCGTACAGGGCCTCGGGACAGAGCTGGCCGTCAGTCACGCCGTCGCTCCGTCTCTGTCGCACTCAGGGGGCGAGAGAGTCGAAGCGACCCCCCGCTCCGCAGCTCGCAGCCTTACCTCTCCCGAGTGTCGCTCCTCCGTCTCCGTCTCGCGCGTGCCTCTGTCGGCCTCCGCTTCCTCCCGCCACTCTACTTCTTCGCACATCTCTTGCGTCCCATCCGTCCTCATCTTGCGGAAACACCTCCCGTTCAACTACTCTTTTCTGTCCCGCAACCCTTATCTCGTTCGCTGTAGTATCTTTCATGCACTTGTCAACGGGTGTGTTTTGGCCGGGCTGCAAAGGCCAAGAAGTGAGGGAAAACCAACCCTCGCTGTGAAACTCCAAGCCACCCGGCCAAAGCGCTGTCAGTTTGCCCCGCTCTCCGAACCGGGCCGTCGCTACTCCGCGCGCGAGAGACCCTGCGTCTCGGCACGCGGGGTAGAGACTGGACCGCACTTACCCTGGTGGCGCGGCAGGCGCGGCGAGCCGTGTGTGGCGAGTGCCGCCTCCGCGTGCACCGCGTGCAGGGCACGGCCGTGGCGCGCGGCGCGCGTGCGGGCAGGCGTGCGTGTTCCTGTTGGCGCCCGGGGGCGTGCTGCAACTTTAAACAGCCCCTATCGTGCCAGTCGGCGACACGCCACGCCACGCCACGCCAGGCGAGTGCGCCCCCTCGCGTCGTCTTCCGCGTGCAGTGCACGCTGTCTGCTTGTCCGCGCTGCAGCCAGGAAGTGGCGTGGTTGCCGCCCGCCAGCGTTCAGCCCGTGAGTGCATTTCGCATCCCCTTCGAGAGCCTCTTCCATCCCACTCACACTCTGTCTCTCTCGCACTCGTGGGGCGCCCCGTGTAGGAGCGAGAGAGACAGAGCGACGAAAGCAGTGCTCGGAATCAGGCTGCAGGAAGCGCCTGTGACGCGGCGCGTAGGCAACCCGCTGGTCGCCGGCGTCCTGCTTCTCTGTGTGTTGCCTACGCTGTCAGGCGCTAGTGCGCGGGTGAAATTGTGAAATCCCTTGAAAGCCCTTGGGCGTGCCTCGATGCTCCGGCAGGGCAACAGATATGGCCCATCTTGAGAAATAGTAATATATTTGGTTTATTTTAAATTGTCTTTGGATTCTCAAGTGACTTTTCCTGCTTGAATTTGACCCTTTGCTTGACATTTCAATTTGTTCGTCATTTCTGATTCTGGGAGGTATGATTTTAGGGTAGTAATTGATTAAACTCAAAGCTTTTGCAATTAATAAACCGTTTATTCTTCTACATTCTTCGTTCACAACCACTCTTTCGTATTGATCTCTTGGTCTATACATATATTCACATATATATTCATTTATTTATTTTTTAAAGAAACACAGTTACTTACAATTAATGTATATTACATATTTACACTGTACAAAAATCATACAAAACGTATCAACATTAGTAAAATCGGCTTGTGTTATCAGGATGACCGTGTTGTAGGGATGCTGAGGTGCTGTAAAGGGAAAGATACTCAAACACAGTTGTAAGTTAAATTAATCAAATGGCAGTGACGATTTTTTTTCATGAACAAAGAAACTCTTTAATGATCACATTTTAATTAAATTTTAATGTAAGGCAAGGCTTAGGTGAATTCAAAAAGGATAAATTCTTTGGATGTACTCGCACTCTATGCAAGCCCATCAGATTCTAAATATTTGACAAATCAACAAAGGTAAAGACTTGTATAAACAACAAAAACGACAAATAGACAGATGTACATATTTACAATTCATGGACACTTGGAGTATAGCCAGTATTGTCACATTGACAATTAAATTAATTCAGGGACTACGAAATGGTAGTGTTGAACTAAGAAAGGGGTTCAAGTGTCGTACTTAAGAACACAGGCTGGTTTCAGTCTAGGGGGTGAGTCTGCGGTTAAATATGTTAAAAGTCTATGAAGAAGACACTACTGACTATAAGTAGGCATGCACTCAGTAGAGTGCAAAGAAAATGGAAAGGAAAACGGTTATCTTTCGAGGCAAAGGCATCTGCATGCATTTCCATGTAGAATCACTCCTTTACTCTGCCCCCTAATGTCAAAGAAAAATAGGAAAAGTCCTTTTGTGGCCTTGAAGGGAAGGCCTGAATGGCCCTCCGGTTCGGCTTGACATCAAGTGACCATTAACGGCAATTTTGATCCCACTCTCTCAACTTTTCGGCGCGAGGATTCGAGCGACGTTACTGAACGGGTCCAGGGCGCGGACGGCGCGGGCGGCGCGGGCGGCGCGGGGCGGGGTCCTAGATCTCGGCCCGCTCGTAGCTGTTGGGCTGGAAGTAGGCGTGCGCCAGGTCGTTGAAGCCCATGCTGTGCGTGGAGGGCAGGAAGTAGGCCTGCGCCGGCGGCGAGCCCTGCGGCGACGCCGAGCTGTGCTGCAGGTTCATGCTGTTGAGCATGGACAGCCTGGCGGCCGCGCCACTGTTGGACGGCAGCACCCGCTGGTAGCCCTGCTGGTAGCCCTGCTGGTGCGGCTGCTGCTGGTACTCGTGGTAGTCCTGCTGCTGCTTGGGCTCGTGGCGGTGGCCCGGCCGGTCGCGGTGCCGGTGGCTGGAGCCGCTGCTCTTCCGGCGCCGCCTCTCCGTGGTCGAGGCCCGCTCGGGGTGCTGCAGGGAGTCAGGCAGCACAACAGAAAGAACCAAAGAACCATCAGCATTAGCACGCAGTGCTGGAGCCTGGTGGCCTGGCGGCCTGGCCCAACCCCGCGGAACCCTTGGCGACCATGTGACATGCGACATGCCTCAGACTCAGCCTGCCTCGAACCTGGTTCATTCACTCGGAATCCGGTAGCATCAGTCAAATTTTGGGCACGGTGTATCGCCGGTCAACCATTATCGTCGAAAAAAAGCTTACATCACGGTTTTTGCACATTTTGGTCAAAAAATTAAAAACAGCCTGAATTTGAGTGCTGGAGCACCTCCCTCTAAGACTCCTGACACTATTTGGAGGACCATTTTGGCTCTTAACGGTGTTTTTCTGGCGGAAAACTGGAATTCTTTGGCCATGCGCCGGACAGGTAGGCAACCCATCGTCCATAGCTTCCCCACCGCACCAACGCTGCACTAGCGTCACGGGAAAAGTTATTTTCTCACCAAATAGAATGTGTCAAAGGCCATTGGGCACCGGACATCTGTTTCTTAGACCCATAGCAACGTTCCATATGAATTTCAGACAAATCGGAGGTGGTCGACCATTTTCGTCGAAAAAATGTTAAGGCTATACATCATGGTTTTTTCACGTTTTTGGACAAAAATTTAAAGTGGCCTAAACTCGAGTATGACGTTGCTGGGGCACTCCCTCAAGACTCCTGACACTATTTGGAGGACCATTTTGGCTCTTAACGGAGTTTTTCTGGCGGAAAACTGGAATTCTTTGGCCATGCGCCGGACAGGTAGGCAACCCATCGTCCATAGCTTCCCCACCGCACCAACGCTGCACTAGCGTCACGGGAAAAGTTATTTTCTCACCAAATAGAATGTGTCAAAGGCCATTGGGCACCGGACATCTGTTTCTTAGACCCATAGCAACGTTCCATATGAATTTCAGACAAATCGGAGGTGGTCGACCATTTTCGTCGAAAAAATGTTAAGGCTATACATCATGGTTTTTTCACGTTTTTGGACAAAAATTTAAAGTGGCCTAAACTCGAGTATGACGTTGCTGGAGCACTCCCTCAAGACTCCTGACACTATTTCAGGGGCCATTTCGGCCCTAAACAGTCTTTTTCTGGCGAAAAACTGGAATTCTTTGAGCATACGCCGCCATGACTGGGAGTCAAACCTTGATTCTTTATCGAGGCGGCTGCTTCCTCTGCGTTCTGAGCTACTCTTGAACATATCACGATTGGCTGCTACAAATGACAAGAAGTGCAGTAAAGAAATGAATTGTGTGAGCACTAGCGATGCTAATTGCTAAAGTACAAATACCATTTCACCATTTCATTGGATGTGAGACTACGGTGAGGTGCTTACAAATCTGTACAAGTGTACGTAACTCGTGCGTGGGGTTGTGCTTTTTGTGAAGGCTTGTGAAGACAATTTCCATTCTCTATCATGCAACATTCCAAAGATTGTTTCTGCTTTGGGAAGAAAGGGAAGGATGGGACATGTAACTTCGCCTAGTTATTTCTGCAGTTTCTATAGAAAATGAAGTTTAAGAGCTGTAGTTAAAATTCTTACATTTGCTTGCCTTTAGTGCTCCTTTAAGGATGGGGTAAAAGATGCTCATACAGCGCAAGAAGCAAGCTCCATATGTGGGGGAAATAAGGAAGCAGGCTAATAGGAACATACTACAATTTAAACGAAAAAGAAAGAGCCGGATGGAATCAAATGCTGATTTAGCAAAACAAGGCAACAAAAAGAGAGGATGCTATTGAATCAAGATAACCTGTGTGAGAGATGAGTGGTAAATTAATAAGTCCGTCGCAATGTGAAATGGAATGAACAACGTTTTAACTCCATCAAAATATAATGTTATTGATCTGTAAAGGAGGCGCCTTGAATGTTCTGAGTGTACAGAAATATTTCCTCTCAATAAACAAAGGTAACTCAAATAAAACTAAATGTAAATCTCTTGTTATAAAACTTATTTTATAACATTTATTTGTGTACTGAAATATCTGACACAAAAACAAGTAACTTAAAAACTGTCAAAGCTTTGACAAGGCAGCTTTTAATACAATATTTACAGAATTAATTTATTTGCACTCAACCTCTTCTTTATACAGATTATGTCTAGATTGACTGACTATGCAGATTGACTGTACAGGACACATCCATTGTAAAATGGATAGTTTCATAAATAGGCAATTTACTTTTTTCATTAATTTACACTCAGAATAAATGGGCTTTTTAAATAATATAATACAAAGGCATAAATAATTATTCACAAAATCAACAAGATGAAACTAAGTCATCATATGGTACAATAAAATTAAATATTCAATGTAAAAATTATAAACTTATCCTTTTATGGGAGGGTCTCTAGGAAATGTCTTAATTATTGCCCAAGAAGCATTTGGTTTCATATGTGTAAAAATTTTTGACAAGAAGAAGTGTCAATCATTATTGGCATTTTTGCATGCACGTTCACTACGATAGAGCTTTGCATAGTACTAGTTTGCATTCTACGTAATCAGTCTGAGGCTTATTCTCCTAAGTACATTAAATATGACAGTAGGATGTACAACATGGTTGCACAAATGCAGGAACATTCTACATGAAAATCACCCTCAGCACAGCGTACTGCGTACACTAAGGTCAGAAGCAAGAAGGAGTCAGTGGGCTCATGGTCTGAAGACATCAGTACATTTTATGTTCAGAACCATGAGCTCAAGCAGATTCCAACTACAGATATGCATTTCTAATAGATTGGGCTTCTTAAGGAAAACAAGAAACAAAAACAAACAATCAAACAAACAAACAAACAAACACACAAAAAAGTGAAAAATTATGAGTGTGCAAAATAAACGTGCAAAAAGTGAAACCAAACGTTAAAATAATGTTTTTTTTTTTAAATAACTGGTTTGACAACATGGAAGACATTTCAGTGCTGATTATGGAGATCAAACCCTCTAAGGATTCTAATGAGATCAGCATAAACAATTACAGTTTTTGAGGCTTCACGACTCACATTGGTTAAAGAGAATAAAAAAATCACACAGCAACACACAGATAAAAGACATTAGTTCAGTTCACACTGTTGTGTGAGGCAGTCCATTTGCAGACACAACAGTTTTAAGCAACACACACTACACTTTGCACACAGTGCATCAGTTCAAAGAGATGCACTGAGGACAAACACAAATGCAAAGCATAGGTAGCAGAGAGGAGGCTGTTGCTGGACGGGACCTGTCAACCCTGCTTGGGATTTCCAACTTCCAATTCACCTGACTCTGATGAGCCAATAGCTCATAGCTCCTAAACTTGTTCTTCTAACTACATTACTTTTTTAATAAAAATTATATTAAAAAACCTAATGGCACAGCGAGGACTACTGATGACATAATAGGTCACACAAATCTACTTGTTTAAGAATTTTGCAAAATTTGACCCAAGTGACCTGAATTGACGTATGGAAATCTCGCTCCTGCTAAGACGTTCTAACAATAAGAACCTGTTTTTCAAATAGGTCAAATGTGGTAGTACCTTATTCTACATATTCTGGATATGTACTAAAAAGCAGTGATAAAAAAATCCAAGAAAACTGGAGAATTGAAAAATTATTGTCATTTCAGTAGCTATTAGGTCTTTTCACCCGCCCCACTACTTCATTACTCTAATGGACAGAAGAGAGAGACAGAAAAAAAAACACTAAGAGAGCAGAAAAAGTAAGAGAGCCATCACACAATGAGGACCAAACTTGCAAGTTAGCTTTGGCAGTGAAACCACAACGACACACAACACACACACGGACACACACACACACTGGCGTCACACTGCTGCAGCTCACACTACGGGGGTTTAGGAGGGCTTGCGGCGGCGGGGCGCGGGGCATATGGGCACAGCCATATAGCAGTATCCAAGCGGGGTGGCGGGGCGGGGCGGGGCAGCAGACCACAAGGCACAGGGCCAGGACCTCTAGGTCAGGACGTCAGGCCCCGGGCCAGAGCTAGGCTGCGCTAGGCTGCGCGATGCGCTACACCCTGGTCGGTGCCTGGAGCACCATGGCGGCTAGCCTAACCTTCATGGCCTCCGGGGATCCGCCCGCCGTGATGTGCTGGGGTATCCGGTGGTGCACGGGGATCGGGGACTGGTGGCCGTAGTGGTGGTCGGGCCCGATGCCCACCACGGCGTTGTTGCCCAGCGACCCGTCTATCCGGGGCGTCTTCTTGCCGGACGTCGAGTCCACGTCGCTCTTCTCGCTGCCAACAGGAGAGACAGTGCGTTAGTGAAAGCGTTCCCGGACACGGCACGAGACACTAGCGCCGAGCCCGAGCGCCTGCGAAGTCCAGGGTAGGCAACACAGCGCCCGTGTCGCACGGATGCTGGGCGCGTGGCCTACGCGGAACCTCTGCAGGCGCTCGCGGACTCCGTTTCCGATGCTGCAGTGAATCTTTAAGACTTGCTGCGCCGAAGCAGTATTGAAATTTTCTAACTGTGTAGTCAAACATCCTACCATGCAAGAAATTTAAAAAAATGAACAAGTTGAATGATGTAAAGCAGCTCATTCGCTTCAAAATCACTGGTAAGCAAAACAATTGGACATAATGCAGTTCACATTTCAGATGTAATGCGAGTGTAGTTGGTACATATTGTGCTAGTGGAACATAAAAAGTGACGGTGATACACAGAAAAATATAAAAAAGCTGCCTGTGAGTCTCCACCTGTGCGTTGACAACGAATAAAGCTTGGCTTGAAATTCTGAACTATGCCGTATTACCATTTGGATGGAAACAACTAATATAAAAGCTCGACAAGTTGCCATGCGCTCCACTATTGAATGCGATGAGCAACTGACCTTATGTCATAATCAAGATTATCCAATCTCTTTGCCTTTGCTCGATCCAACCTGTGGCCAAGGAGAATGGCGAATACATTTTTTGTTTGCCTAAGAGCATTGGTGTGATTGTTACCCGCACTCAATGATTTATCATAGATTTTGTATTACGATAGAACACTTGAAACTAGGAGTAAAAGCAATTGTCTTACCTTTCCAAATCCGCCGGCCTGAAGTCACCTCTCCCTACAACAGATTGAAAGGAAAAGATAAGTCATTGGTGTTCAATTTTTTAACCACAAAAAAATGAATAGGTCAACAGTGGATGTTAATGCAACGCACAGAGTAGCATACTTACTGGCAAAACAGCATTTTTCTCTCCGAACCGCATACACAGAGAGTAGAACGAGAAGTAACAACAGAAGTAGGCACCCAGAGGCAACGCTCAGCAAAGTTGTCATCGAAACTGGTTCTGGAAAAGGATCACACAGATTGGCTGTTAGAGCAAAATCATACTTATGTCATAATTATGCGACTTGATTAATTAATTGAAAAATAACTGACTCATTGACTAACAACAGAGAAAAATTTTGATTCAAAAGAAAAAGTGAAACAGACAATGTATAAGCTTTTAATTAAATTATAGCAAGTCGCAATATTTTTATGCAGTAGCAAGCTTGACAACATTCAAATGAATCGCAAAACAAGGAAACATGCAAATGAGGCAGGGAACGCGGCACAGGGCCGCGCGCGCACACACACACAAACATCCCACTACCACCAACACGCATGCAGCCGCACAAAAACTCTAAACTAACCATTGTTGTCATCCACAGTCTACAGAGTTCCCTGGCCTGTGTGTACTACTATATGTTTGTCACGCACGCTTGCGAGGGGTGCGATTTTCCGTCCGAGTGTAGGTATTTGGAGGGAGATTAATGCCGAACGAGCATAATACTCGGAGAGAATCCGATGAAGCGATTCGATTCCGTCTGCTCTCCGCGAGTCGGCTGGAGGGGGCGGCCGGGGCGGCCGGGGTAGGAACTACGTGACATGTGTGCCGATCCGCCCCCGCCGCCCCCCGCCCCTCGCAACCTCTCACCGACAGAGGCACGCCGTGGGGGCTGGCTTACCGAATTAAAGTCGTGCAAGAGACGGCCACTCTTTGTTCTTATTGGATTCCTGCCAGCGCCGTATCGGCCCCAGACACACAAAACTTTTCGAATTTTCGCGCCAACTTGTTCAGCAGTGTTTCAAAAGCGCGCCACCGCCAGTTCGTATACGCTGCAAGAACTACTGCGCTGAACTAAGGAACTAGTGGCTGTGCTAAGCCGCGGGACTACAGGTGTAGCAACTACCCGATCGCTAGTCGGCGTGCCGACGTGCAACCGCCCCCGGGTCAACTCCGAGCTCCGGGGCGGGATTTTTAAAAGGATTAATGTTGTAGCCATGCACAGCAAGGTCATAGTGAAGAGTGCTAGTGATGTGTGCTAGTCACAGCAAGTGTGCTCCCGCATAAGCAAACGCCAGCACGCTCTGGACCTCGTGTGCCCCTCCATCTTGCCGAACTTCGCACCGCGTCTTACTCACATGCTCCCCACCGACGACGAAGACGACGGCAGTGTCTCTAAAGTCGTTACTAAAAAGAGATTTGCATATTGAACGCATCTTGCATTGTACTTTCACCTGGAGCGCGGTATGGGGTGTGGCGAAATTGGCGATGAATTGTTCAAGCCCATTTAAAATTTGTCCCCTCCGTTGGTGTCGCCTGCTAGGACAGGGCTGGCGCGGGCCTGGGGGGGGGGGGGGGGGGGGGGGCAGGCCGAGGCCGAGGCGAGGGCCAAGGCAAGAAGGGGATACATTTTGTGCTGGAGTTGGCAGTCTGTCTGATTGTGTGTGACAGCGTGCCGACCGCGCCCCAGGCAGGCCAGCCCTAGCGATGCGCCCAGGGCTGCGGGCTGCGGCCCCAGTACAGTCCCTCTTTACCAGTGTGCCTCCGCCTTATTCAATATTTTTTGCCCACGTTCTTTCCCCCATTCACCCTTTTTTCACCACCATTGTCTTTTGCTCCATTTTCTAGGCGGCGAGGCAGCATTATTGTCGCTAGGAGTGCCCCGACGCCCCGCCGCTCCGCTCCCCTGAAGCGGAGTGGCGCTAAACTCGCCTGGGACGGACAGTGCGGCCGCATGCGGCACTGAGGGGACAGGCTAAGTAAAACAGATCAGTCGCACCCACCGAAGGAACCGTGGTGGGCGAAGCACCATCCTGCCTGCCTATCAAGACGGGGAAATGAAAGAGTAGGAATGGGCTTCCTCAAACCAGAAAAAGTACCATTTCCAAAACCAGTTTTTTAAAAAGAATTTTTGGTTTGATGTTTGAGTCGGAAGCCCATCCCTGGAAGCGTAAGTCCACCAAGCCATGCGTGCAGTGCCATGCAGTGCGCCGTACTTGCTGATGCTCGAGCCTCGTGCTCACCCCGGACGGCCAGCAGCACCATGTGGCTGTCGGCGCCGCGGTCGTTCTCCACCGTCAGGTGGTACGTCCGCGCGTCCACCAGGTCGGCGCTGCGCACGTGCAGCCGCGCCTCGTAGCAGTCCTCGCGCTCCTCCTGGCAAGGGGACAACAAGACCATCGTCAATTATAAGAAAACAAATAAATGAAAGTGTCAAAAAACTTTTAAATTGCCAAAAAATTAATCAGTGTTTAAAAATCCAGCAATGTTAAAATTTTAGCAGAGTTAAAAAAAATTCAGCAGTGTTAAAAAATCAGCAATCTTAAAAAATTCAAGAATGTTGAAAAAATCAACGATGTTAAAAAGTTCAACAATGTTAAAGAATTCAACAATGTTATAAAATCCAACATTTTTTTTTACTTTTTTTAAAGGAATAGAGTGGTTTCTCACCTGCAGGAGCTCCTCAGCCTGGAAGCGGCCGCTGTTGGCGCCCGAGTCGACGGCCAGCGAGCCCCAGTGCCACTGCACCTTGCTGGGCTTGGGGTCGGCGCACACCACCATCTTGAGGTGCGCGTCCTGGCCGCGCAGCACGCTCACCTCGCGGGCCACGGCGTTGCGCAGCACCTGGGGCGCGCCCTTCACCTGCACGGACAGGCTCTCGCTCTGCTCGGAGCGCTCCGTGCCGCCGATCAGGTTCGTCACCTTGCACACGTACTCGCCCTGGTGCTCGTACGTCACGTTGTGCATCACCAGCTCGGCCTGCGACCCCCGGATGATGACCGTGTCCTGCGTGGTGGGCATCTTCTGCAGCCACTGGTACGACGGCTCGGGGTTGCCCTCGGCCGTGCAGTTGAAGGACACGCTGGAGCCCAGCTTGACCGTCGTGGTGCGGACGCGCGGCTCGATGGCCACCACTCGGGGCGCGTCTGGAAGGCGGAGGACGCAGGTTCAAACACTCGTTCAACGAGTTTTTTTTTCACCGCCAAGGGTACTTACACTTGACGTCCAGGTAGACGGTGACGGGCGGCGAGAAGCCCACCTCGTTCTTGGCGCGGCACGTGTAGCGGCCGGCGTTCTTGCGCGTGACGGGCAGGAACTGCAGCGTCTCCTGCGAGGACACCAGCTCGTTGCCGCGGTCCGTGGCCTCCCAGAAGACGGCGGCCGGCGGGTTGGCGTCCGCCTTGCAGGCCAGCAGCACGCGGTCCACGTTCTCCTCCAGGTCGGACGTCGGCGTCCCCGACAGGCTCACCTCGGGCGGGTCTGCAACGGAGGCAAGTGTAAGTCACGGGAGGGAACGGCGGCCTGGCCATAAGACCGCCACCTGATGGGGCCCTGGGCGGGGCCTGGGCCTGCGCGAGGCGGGGGCAGCGGTCCAGAAGGCTGCGGCACTTCTACGGCGGCGCCAGCATTCCTCGCTGCCAGCGGGCCGAACGCCGCGCTGTCTCTCTCGCACCCGCCACTCGCCCCGTGAGTGCGAGAGAGACGGAGTGGAGTTCGGCGGCAGCCTGCCGCGCCGCCCTTCCCGACGCCTTGCGGCCCCGTGGGCCATTCGTCCGCCGTTAAACCTCAGGTATGCCGTGATTTCGAAGCCGGGAAGGGATGCCTAGCGGGGGAGGGAGCCTGGGAACCGGGACTACCGGGGGCCCAGTCCGGCGCAGTCAAGATGTTTGCCGCTGCGCCGCCGCTGCAGGCTGACTCCGAAGGGGAGGTCTCTCTCTCTCTCTCTCTCTCTCAAGGGCGTTTCGCACAGGTGTGAGAGAGACAGGCCTCCCCCTCGGAACGAGGCTGCAGCGCTGGCGAGGCCGGGCGAGGCCCTCCACCCTCTGCATCCTGATGAGCCCCAAGGCCGTTGCCACCTGACCCTGCCTCACCTCTCCCTCTCTCTCTCTCTCTCCCTCCCACTCGCGTGGCGCCCCGCGCGGGTGCGAGAGAGACAGACCGGTGCTGACCGCGGCGGGGACCGCAGGTGCGTCTGGTGGCTCTGCACCCTAATTAATAAGCGGCGGCCGTCTGCGACTCGCCTCGCCTTTTCGCATTTCACGCCGAAAATAATAATCGTGATAATAAAAGAAAGCGGACCCGCGCGGACCGCTCGGGCGCCCTTGCTCGGCGCGCACCCCGCCCCGCCCCGCCCACACGGCGGCATCCTGGCGTTGTCAGCGCGGTCCCTGCCCCGGCAAGCCGCTCTGTCTCTCTCGCACCCATTCGGGACGCCCCTCGAGGGAAAGGGAGAGGGAGGGAAGTCCCGCTAGCTCGCTCGCTAAGCGGAATGCCGCGGAGCCAAAGCCAAATTCTATTCTGCTCACAGCAGCAGTCGGCAGTCGGTAGCGCAGCGCGCGGCGCCAGCAGTGCCGTGGACAACGCAAGAATTTCTCATTAGGACTTCACCGGCTTGGCTTCGCGTGGCTTCGCGCCACTTCGCCGGGCTTCTCGGCAAAAGGCAGCAGCCTCGTTTCGTGTCGGCCCAAGAGTCGCTCCGTCGCTGCCTCTCTGTCGCACGCGCGGGGCAGCCCGTGAGGTGAGAGAGAGAAGGAGAGTGACAGAGGATCTTGCTTTCGGAATCGCTCGGCAGAGGGCGGAAAGAGTGGCAAAGGCGAGTCTAACTTGTTGGCCGTGTGGTTGTAGCGGAGTGCGAGGCCAACGCCATACCAACTCGGAAGCCCCCCCCCCTCTCTACTTGGGGCTCGATCGCGCTGATCTGGAGCCACAGTGTGGCACACAGTGTACGTACGCGTTCCCCGGAGATGCCTAAACTAGGCCCCAACCGCGGTAAACTGCGGACACTTTAGCGCCTGCGGGGCCGGCCCGGGGCCAGCTCTCTCTCTCTTTCTCTGTCGCACTCACGGGGCGTCCGGCGTGGGTGCGAGAGAGACAGGCCACGGCGGCGCCGGGAGGGGCTCAACGCAGGGCGTATCGGAAAGGTTGGGGCGCGACACCCCGCGCCCCGCCCCGCCCCGCCCCGCCGCGCCCCGCCCCGCCTCGGTCCAGACAGGGGAGGCGGGGCGGGGTCCCCATTGTGCCGCGACAAGAGATGAATGTCCCGCCGCAGCCCCGCGAAGCTCCGACCCGCGAGGGGTGCGAACTCAGCGCGAAAACGTTCACACACTCACACTAGTGCACACCACACTCACACGCACACTCACGCTTGGCCGCGTTGTGGTCCTCTGTTCTGTTTGCCGTGCACTGCGAGCAGGCGGCGACGGCCTCGGCCGGGTCACGGGGTTAAATTGGAGTAGAAAATCGGACGCCTCACACACGTTGGCGCGTAAGCCAAGGCCGCTCATCTTCTTCACTACTGCCCTTTAAAATTCTCATTTTCAGATTGTGTTTCGGGGGTCACGGGTTCGAGTACCGGCTGGCCTGGCCACCCGCTCTGGATGCGGCGGCCTGCTGACCCCGCCTAATTCCACGTGGTCGCGAGAGAGAGAGAGAGGGGAAAGGGGGGGGGGGGAGAACGAGAGCGAGACCCCATAGCAACCCATTTAGATCGGACTGCAAAACTAAGCGTTGCCACTCCAGCCACGTCCCGGTGCTGAATCACACACACGCACACCACACACACACACACGCACACAGATGTCGCACCGCATTCCGAACCGCATTGCTGCCGTTACCCTTCGGGCCTTCGGCCGGCCCCTCGGTGCTTCCCTTCGGACGGTCCGACCGACCGGACCGACCGACCGACATGCGCGCCCCGCGCCCGGTGTGCGGCTGGGCCGTCTAAACTAACGGCACCGATTCAAACAAACCCCTGCCCTTCCGCAGAACGATAGGAAAAAAAAAAAAAAAATGACAGTTTTGTCAAAAAAATGTTTGTTATTTTTTTTTTCAAATTTCGTACGCGAACTGAATTTTTGTTTCGCTCTCGGAAAACGTAGATTTTCCCCCTTCGATTCCCAGGTACTTACAGTGCACGTCCAGCTTGACCTCGGCGTCCTGGCTCTTGGTGCTGTGCGACTCGTGCATGGCGACGCAGCGCAGCGGCTGGCGGTGCAGGTCGCGCACCGACGCGATCCTCACGTAGGACGTGGCCACGTACAGCCGGTGGTTGTCCTCCTCCGTGGCGTTCGTCTGGTTCGCCTGGCTGGTGATGTCCTCGGAGCCTGCGCCGAGGGAACGGTCAAGACATGGAGGCCTCCGCGGTGGCGCACAGTGGGCCAGAAGATCGGCGGCGCCGGCGGCCGAAAGTCCAGACGCGTTTTGAGCTCCAGAGTCGCTAAGCAGGGCTCGAACCGAGCGTGTGACCCCACCAATGGATTCCTCGTTCGGAGAGCAATCCATTGGTGGGGTCACACGTTCGGTTCGAGTCCCATTTAGCGACTCTGGAGCTCAAAGCGCGTCCGCAGGATTTCGACCGCCTCCTGTTCGCAGTGTGGTGGACTTACCGAGCAGCCACCGGATGTTGGCCGGCGGGTTGCCGAAGCGGGAGATGCACTTGACCACGGCGCTGCTGCCGACGCGCACCGACACGTTCCTGCCGGGCAGCACGTGGGAGCCGTTGAACTCGATCCGCGGCGTCTGGGGCGCCACTGCAAGCAGCAACAACAACAAGAATCAGCGCCGGCGCCTCGCAGTGCCTCGCAGTGCCTCGGCCGGCCAGAGGGCCGTCAGCAACAACAACAAACACCACTCTGCCAGATCAACCCTTTTTATTTTATTTTTCTCGTCTTTTTTTGCAGTGTGTGTGGCAGCCTGGAAACATACCGCGCCATATTTATCACAGGCCGCCTCTGATGTTCCAGTGGCGTGGTGCCCTTCGACCCTTTCTCTGCCATTTCCTCCTTTTTTGTTTTTGTTTTTTTTTTCCTCCAAGAGCGATGCATTGCTGCACTGCGCTGCGCCGCGCGGTGCCACGCAGTGGAGTGGAGGCGGTGCCGTCATGAGAACAAACACACATGGCCGCTCCTGCCGCCACTGCAGCTCCTGTACTCCATGAATGCAAAACGTCTGACGGCGGGCGAGCAGTGCTAGATGGATTCGCGCCGCCTTTTTCCCTTTCCCTTTTTTTCACTTTCTTTGCCGCGCTGTCTCGTTTCTTTTTCCTCTTCTTCTTCTTCCTCCCCGCAGTGCAGCGCGGTGCAGCGCGGTGCGCACACTGGGAAGCGAGGTAACGCGATTCCAGCGGACTAATCAAGCAGCACCGTGGCGGCACCGACAAAAAAATATTCAAAAACGCGAAATTTTTTTTTCCAGTGGTGCGCAACGGGTTAGTGGAGCGGGGCGTACGGTAGGACGCGAGTGGCGCGGCGGGTGGCCAGTCAGACGGCAGCCCTTTAGCCGTCCAGCCGTCCAGCCGCGGCACGGGCTTTGGCCCCTTCGGTCCGCCGGCATGCCTGCCGTATGCATACCAAATCGAGGCCGCCCCGCCCCGCCCGCCCCGCCCCGCCCCGCCCCGCCGCGCCCCGCGAGACGAAAGTGCATCGGCGAGCGGGAGCGGCGGCGGGTTCAACTCCCCGGTGGCCATCGAGAAGGACAAAAAAAGCAAGGACCAATTTTGAATAACGGGAGGATTGAATAAACAGTGAGAGACGCGCTCCGCTCGGGGAACGGCGGTGTTGACACGGGGATCTAGAAGGTGTCGAATCGAGAAGCGCCGCTCTCACCGCAGACGCCGCTCCACCAACTAATGGCTGAGATTTGGGGCCGCGGCTCGGGGCTCGGGCCGCCGTGGCGTGCCGCCGCAGCCGATCCCTGGATGAGGACCCAGCGGGGGAGATATTGAATCGGCGGAGGCCGGCCGGCAGAGCCAGCAGAGGGTTGGGGGCGGCGGGGGCGGCGGGCAGTGCAGGGGTCTAATGCCAAGGGAACTTTGGGCTGCCG